CTGTTTGGACCATTCCTGGACGCAAAGCCACTGAAATGATGTTGGACTCTTCTTCAGCGAGGGTTCTTGGTAACAGGTGAAGAGCGCCGTGATAATACACGGCAAATCAAATACCGGCAGAGAGAGTTCATTGCAGCCTTGCTGGCGTTGTAGGGACCCCATCCGGCGGTGCCTTTGACTGCAGAACCGGAACTAACAAAGACGACGCGTCCTAGCGAGCGGCGGACATTTAAGTATGGACGTATAGTCCATGCACGTACCACAGTGTTCGCTTTTGCGCAGAGCCGGGAGAGTAGTTTTGAGTGCTGTAACCAAAGAGAAGAAATTGACGTCGAAATGATTTTTCCATTGATCCAACGAGGTTTCATCGCCAATGCGACACAAAGGCTCAAGAGTGCCGGCATTCAGAATGAGTCCATCTATACTTGAGAATTTCTTGACGCCTTGATCAACGGCATGCACAACGGCCGCTTGGTCCGTGCTGGCGGCAATATGTAAGTTAGCGGCCGGTCATGTAGCGGAGTACTGACACATCGCCATCTACGAGTAGAAGCGAATCCGAAGCCAAAGCGACAAGTTGCGGAGTGCGGGTACGCGATAACGCGATAACGTTTGCACCGAATGTGCGAAGGAGGATCGTGGTGATAGCCAAGCCTATGCCCTGTCCAAGGTTGGCGAAGGTTAAATAACACGAGGAAGAGTACCTTGGAGGCACCAGTGATAAAGATTGTTGGGGACATGGAGGTCGGAGGATCCAAATATGTATATGTACCTCACGTGCAAACATTCTTCTCACCAAAATTTATGACTGCTGCTCTGGCCTTTGCTCGCCTGGTTCGTTCCCGCCCGCCGTCGGCACTGGGCGCATCCAGAGCTTTCAGGGGTCGACGCTATGCGTCTTCAGAGGCAGAGCATTCAGTATGATAATATTCTCGCGATTCGTGTCGGATTTTGAACGAGAGCCAGATGACGGTTCGAGACGCACTCAACGCTGCCATGGAGGAAGAGATGATACGGGACGAAAAGGTCTTCATCCTTGGCGAAGAGGTAGCACGCTATAATGGCGCATACAAGGTGCACGACGCGTCTTTTTGCCGCTCAATGTATCTAACATGTAAAATTCTTCTAGGTGACGAAAGGTCTACTCGACAAATTTGGTGAGAAGCGCGTCGTAGACACGCCAATCACAGAAATGGGCTTTGCTGGGCTGGCCGTCGGCGCCGCGTTGTCTGGTCTGCGCCCAATGTACGCCTTTTTTCCATGAGGCGGCGTTTCTTCCTCTCATTCCGCGTTCTCGGCAGATGCGAGTTCATGACCTTTAACTTCGCCATGCAGGCGATTGACCAAATCGTCAATTCGGCCGGAAAGACGTACTACATGTCGGGCGGAAACGTGCCGTGTCCTGTCGTTTTCCGCGGTCCCAACGGTGCTGCCTCCGGCGTAGCAGCTCAACACTCGCAGGACTACGCGGCCTGGTACGGGTCAATTCCTGGGTTGAAGGTCGTTAGTCCTTGGAGTGCTGAGGATTGCAAAGGACTGCTTAAGGTCATTATATGTTACCTGCACTCCAGGTTCTTTTGACTCATCAGTCTCCAGTCCGCTATTCGTGACCCGAACCCCGTTGTTTTCCTCGAAAACGAAATGTTGTACGGTGTCTCTTTCCCCATGTCGGCCGATGCCATGTCGGACAACTTCTTGCTACCGATCGGAAAGGCCAAGGTCGAACTCGAAGGGAGCGACGTCACCATTGTTGCACACAGCAAGATGGTTACGCACAGTCTGGAGGCGGCCGAGGTTTTGGCCAAGGAAGGGATCAAAGCGGAGGTCATCAACCTGAGAAGTATCCGACCTCTTGATATCGACACCATTATCAAGTCGGTCAAGAAGACCAACAGGTCATTCATGCTACTTGAGACTCTTCCCTCGACTGACATGAATTGCCAGACTCCTTATTGTGGAGGGCGGCTTCCCTGCCTTCGGTGTTGGTAGTGAAATTTGCGCTCAGATCGTTGAGAGCGAAGCCTTTGACTACTTGGACGCCCCGGTTGAGAGAGTGACGGGTGCTGACGTCCCAACGCCGGTTCGTGTTTCATCGTGTCTCCAGTCTTATCTCTCTTGACTTGTTTACAGTATGCCACCAACCTCGAGGCCCTTGCTTTCCCGGACACCCCTCTGATCGTGAAGGTTGCAAAACGGGCACTTTATCGCACTAACTAGCTCTTAACCTTTCTGTGCTGTCATACAAAATAGATTGCTTTCAGCTCCGTAAACGTACTCGAACAGCGTTTGCGTGCGCTTCTAGACCTTCGCAGTCAGCCAGCGTTATCACCACGGGTCCCAGTATTTTCAAGCCGGATTCCGTGATCTCCTGCGACGTAATGTGCTTTTGGAACGACAGTGTGTTGACTCCGCTAAATTGGCGCGCGTAACCATTTGTAGGCAGAGTATGATTGGTGCCGGATGCGTAGTCTCCGCAGCTGTTCCTCAATGAGTATCCTGAAGACCTGAATGTTTTTCGGGCGCTCACCTTTCCGGAGAGTACGGACCGACAAACACGCTGCCAGCGTTTTCCACGAGCTGCACCTTCTCACTGGCTTGTTCAAGATGCAGAATCAAGTGTTCCGGAGCGTAGTCATTGGAAAAAGCGAACGCCTCAGCCACAGACATGGCTTTGACGATGATACTTTTACCAATGGACTTGCGCACGATGTCCACGCGCGACAAGGCATGAGCCTGTACATCCACCTCGTTTTCGATCTCTGTCAGCGTGTCTGCATTGACGTTCACCGCTACCAAGACCACCTGCGAGTCCACCCCGTGCTCTGCCTGGGACAGCAAGTCCGCAGCAACGAACGCTGGATTTGCTGTGCAATCCGCAATGACCTGACCAAATCGCTAAGACGCCGCGGATTTCGCGATGCAGTGACATTACTTACAAGGACCTCAGATGGCCCCGCCGGCATATCGATGGAGACCAAAGCATCCGTGTCGTTTTGGACGAGCATCTTCGCCGCCGTAACCCACTGGTTTCCCGGCCCAAATATCTTGTCGACCTTGGGGACTGTTTCTGTTCCGTACGCCAGCGCCGCGATGGCCTGCGCGCCACCGGCCATCAATACCGCGGACGCGCCGATGAGGTGCGCGACGTACATGACCTCGGGGGAGACGCTCCCGTCGGGGCGTGGTGGCGTCGCAAGCACAATTTGTTGGCAACCTGCGACTTGAGCGGGAATGCCCAGCATGAGCGCTGTCGAGGGGAGTACCGCGGTGCCGCCCGGTACATACAGGCCCACACGCGCGATTGGGCGCGCGAACCGCGAACAGACGACGCCAGGCATCGTCTCTACGGTCATCGTCGACGCCTCGGCTTGCGCCGCGTGGAACTTTTTAATGTTTGCGTAGGCAGTTTTAATCGCCTCGGCCACAGCGGGCTCGACGCGCATTGTGTCGGGAGCGAAAGGCGGAAAGACAACGGTGGAGGTCAAATTTGCCTTGTCAAATTTGGCGGTGAACTCGAGGAGTGCGGCGTCCCCTCGTGCACGGACTTCGTCGACGATCGGGCGCACTCGGTTGATCATTTCGTCGGACTTGAGGACGGGACGGCGGAGTAAGTCGGCGCGTTCCGCAGGAGAGACACCAGTAAGGTCAAACGTGCGCATACGAATCGGTGCGTCCTCCTCAGGTTCCGAAACCACCGGTTGCGCTTGTTGTGTCGGAGCACTCTGCATTGTCTGTGTCTTGGACCACTCCGGTTTTGCGTTCCCTGCTCTGCGTGTCACGCGTCGCGCTTTTTTGTCTAAGGATGCTTCGATATCAGAAATTCCAACACCCGTAGCAATACACTTGGTTAGCGCAAAATATAACAGGTCAGCAGCTTCAAAAGCCACATCCGCCTTGGCTTCTGCCCTACACAGCTCGTCTGCTTCTTCCATGATTTTAGACCGAAGGAGATCTGGATCACTGAACAGCCGCTTCGTATACGATCCCTCTGGCGCCGCATTGAAGCGGGAGCGAAGTGTACGTTCCAATGCGGGCAAGCCGCTTGTCTCACGAAAGCACGACTCGCGATTGAGGTGGCAGAAGCCCGTGCCATGCTGTTTGACGCGGAACTCGAGGCTGTCCGAGTCGCAATCTAATCTGATGCTGACAACTTCTTGAGTAGCACCAGACGTTTCGCCTTTCCTCCACAGCCCGTGTTTCCGCGATTGGTAGACACCCTTTCCAGTGAGGATGCTCTCTTTAACAGATTCGCGGGAGGAATAAACAAGGCCAAGTGAATGGCCAGTTTCTGAAGAAACGACGGTAGGGAAGAGTCCGTCTGGGCGATCAGATACAACAGGCGCAAGGAACGCGTCTGTGATATTTATCTGCGAAGCAGACGTGGCGGAAATGGTGAGCAGAGCTGCGGGGAGCACTAGGGTCGCTCCAATGCCAAGTAGCCCTCGAATTAGAGAAGTCGTTGGTGGAACTGAGGAGCTGGAAAGAACATAAATGGACGACCCGGTGAAAAACTTTGATATGGAGGCAATCAAGTCCAAGTCGATAGCAGGGGCCTTGAGCAGCACACCAGAAACCCCATTCCGCACTTTATCCGACACTGCGCTAAGGTTGCCGACGTCGAGCAAAAGTAAAAGCCTCTCGGAGGAGATGAGTTCGATAAGTTCCTTTGCCCAAGAAAGGGGGACTATGAGCTTTTCGACGCCGTTATCCAGCCATGAGACTGCTTCGTCCAAGACTAATGGACGCGACTGATCGACGAGAATGTAACAATGGGTAGGGAGAGGGAGAGACGGAGAACGCGATGATGGAAAGACGATGGGCCCGATACGACTGAGGGCATCGAACAGCTGGCTGTCTTCTTCATTGAGAAAGGGTAGAAAGACAGACATGACTCCGAACCAATTTTAAGTTGACACATTTTCTTTTTGTCACGATATCTTTATATTAATCTTTTCAAGTACGTGAAAGACTTGACAATAGTCGGGACGCCGCGTTATATAGGCTTTGTAGTGTAGCGGTTATCACATCAGATTCTGAATGCGCCTGGTCACGTGTATTTGGTCACATGACTTCGGAAGTTGAATTCTGGTAACCCCGGTTCGATTCCGGGCAAGGCCTCTTTTTTTCGTCTGGACTCTTTAATCCGAGATCTTGTACGATTTCACTTTTTTGACTTCCGCGAGGCCCCTTTTTCTTGTGGGCTCAAACTACCTAATTCTCTTACAATTTAACCACCAGACCGTTAAGATATGTCACAACAGCCAAGCACAATATGTCAAGAGAAGGCAGGTCGCTTGCAAAGAAATTGGTGCCAGTAATTTTCTTGAATTGAGTGAGTAGCAACGCTGTAAGCACAAGTGCTGGCAGAGGTTAAAGTATAAGTAGCAGCGGCCAACGTGGCAGACGACCAGAAGGAGTGTGTAAATTCTAGGCAGACAATGAGCGCTGGACAGTCACCTCGCACGACCTTGGCTGTAGGATAGCCCGATGACTCGGAGAAGCCTCGGGAGGAACTTAGAGGTCGCGTGACGTCATGGTCAATTATGTTTGAGCTCGGAAACATCATATTCAGCAACAATTTACTGTAAATCTACAGTACATAAACAGATTTGTGGTGGGAGTCAGTGAGTGTTGCTTGCAAGCAGCGCGTGCCAAGATAATATAAAAATAATGCGTAGATTACTAGGGAGCAAGGTCAGCAAAAGGGCGAACATCAGTTCAAAACGCACCGAGAAATACATCAGGGTCGAATGCGACTTGTGCAAGGGCTTAAAGCCTCGCCTGAACGCCTCGAGCGAGCTTGCCGCCTCGCCGTCGTCGGCCTGCGTCGCCGTGTCCGAGAAGTCGACCGTGCCCTGCGGGTCATAGTGGTTCTTCGCGCGCGAGCAAACGATGTCCGCGTCTGGACGCATTTGAATCCTCAGCGTACGGGACACGAAGCAGAGATACGTACAGTACACCGGCGCGGGGATCGATACGGAGCGTGTGGAGCGAGCATAAACATGACAAAGGGCGAACGAGAGCGATTGCAACGCGTCCGCCTTAAAATTGTTCTCCTGCGTGTCGTTGAGATGGCGACACTTTCCCACAAAGGAGAAACTCACGTCGTAGAGGACAGAATAGTGCGCGGGACGGCTCGTGCCTGCAAGTCTTGTAAGCGTCCCCCCCACGACAACGACGGAAACCCATACCCAGCAACCCTCCATGCGACTGGAGATAGAAGTCGAACTCGGTGGGATGAGCCACTTCACGGTCGACGACCGTGCCCGCCCTGCAGTTGCCACTGCGGTCTCCGTCACGTTCGCTCTGCGGGAAGAATCTGGAGTGGTCATTGAGAAGGAGCGTATGTGCGATGAAAGCACGCATACCGGACGTGGTGGCGCTACACAAGGAAAACTTAGTAGAGCGAACGAGGAGACTAGAACATCAACAAAGAAACTGACCTTGCCCACGACAAGGATCGTGATCTTGGGACTGATGCCCAGCGACGCACAAGCCTCTGGACAAAGCATCAGACAAAACGCGAGAGCGGGTTAAATGAAACCGCAGACTCTTGATGAGCGGGAGTTCTGCGAAAGAGATGGTAAGCACTGAATCGACGAACATCAAACGAAATCCAAATAACCTTGCTCCAAAACTTGTTTGAATTGTCCTTCGGAAACACCGTCTAACGAACATAGTGAGTCGCAACGAACAAAGAGACTCTAGCAGAACACACCGCGGTAGAAGATGATGCGCTTGGGGGCCAACGCCCCTTCCGGCTTCTTCTCCACCTTCTGGCGATACCTGCAGAAACCATCAACATGTCGCGTTTTTGGTCCTTCAATACAGCACGCACATCATATACATCGAGAGCACATGGTGGCTCATCGACTCGAGCTCTTCGATCATCTCCTGACGAGACGTCTGGACGCGGCTGGCGGCGATGTACTTGGCGGTATCGGAGTCGACGTTCGCGACGAGAGCAGTGAACGATGGGCGACCATCAGAGCCGGGCGCCGGGTGGATAACCTGACAAGATAACATGAGCAAAAAAAGGTTTGGAAGGGATGAACGAACATCGGCTAGATAAAGCAATGCCTGTTCTCAGTGACCCGAATGAAATATATGCAGGAAACGTACCACCTGGAAAACAAAAGATCATAAGAATGAGAACACGTTCATACGAAGGAACGACGCACCCATGACAATGGTGGGGTTGTGGGGATCCGTCAAAACAGACACCGACGGCGGGTCGGGGATGGTGTTGATTCCACCCAACTTGACGTTGATCCTGGCGACGTAAAGAATCAGAAAAGAACCTCTTCTGGGGGAAAAACTCACTTGAGGCAGACGTTCGCGTAGTACTGCGGCTTCGCGCGGAAGCACTTGCTCGACTTCAGACATTGCGTCGCGACGCCCATCTGCATAGAGTATAAATTGAATGTAACAGTTGTGAGACGGCGACGCTTACCGTGATATCACCGAAGCTGCAGAATTTACAATTAGTGGGACAAGCCAGCGCAGCATAGGGACGAGCACGTACTGCTTGACGGACGTGTAAATGTCGTTGCCGCCCTGGTCGTTCGGTCAACATCCGTACAGGACTTCACGGACGCACGTACCTCTGGCAGAACGACAACCATGAGGTTGGGGCCTGCTTTCATCTTTTCCGCGCAGGCGGCCCCTGCCGCCCTGAGCTGGTCGGAGATGCGGCCTTGACCATTCTCCCAAAAGATAAATGGGGTCGGAGCGAGCTTAATGCCTATGCGCAGTATGTAAGCATCTACAAGAGGCAGGGAGAAAAGACCAAACGCACCAACATCACGACAACTGTTGACTAGACCATTAATCATATCATTAGCTGCTCCTGCGTCGAATCGACGCTGTGGACCACCGTAAGCGGAACAGGCATATGAAGGACGAGGAAAACTCACCTTTTGCTCGTAGATCACTACGACCCAGCGGTCGATGGAAACAGGCTTGAAGAAGCGTTTGTCCACCATGTTCCATGCGCCATCGCGAGGAACCTGGAATGGGAGGAGCGAAATAAGCAGACGCGTTCAATGAAGGAAAGGGACACGCACAATGGTAGATTGACGAGAGCCAGGTCCGTACTTGAGCGTAGGCGGCTTTAATAGCCGAGCCTGGACTTTGAGAGGACCTGCGGTAGCATCCACGTTCATGCCAAACTGACGGACGTATTCGGATTGCCCGTACGCGAGCAGCTGTTAAACGAGGATTAAGACGCTGGACTACTAGAGAAAAAAATAGGTCGCACACTAAGGCCGTTCGAGATACTCCTGAGGCGGTCGGCGGGCTTCTTCGTCGCAAAGTCAAGGCTAGAGCAAGGAGGTTAACATCAATCCATATGGTCCACGTGTAAGTAGGGACATACACATCCTTCGTCTTCTCAGGGGGCTGCACACAAAAAGTTTAGTGTAATATAATGGTCTTTCCACGGAAAACTCACGACTTGCTTGCGCATCAGCTTGAAGAAGAAATGTTAGAAAGACTTTGAAAGGTAGCAAGTGCCATAGCCTTCCAGCGTTGGCTTTGAAAAACGTTACCTGGCCCGGAGGGACGACACAAAGCTCTAGAGTGCCGTCAGTAACACGTCAAAAGAAATTAACAAAAAACGCACCCAAGGGAATGAGGGCGCCAGACCCAACCTAGGCACAGACATGAGACAAAAGCAGAAACGGGGTAGGAAGACGCACTTCGGCACAAATCACGTCGGGGAACTGGAGCGGCTTGCCTTGCGTCTTCTGGAAATATTCGGCGACTGTCATCGTCTGGCCCTCGCGCATCTTGAAGCTGAGGGAGCTGGCGCCGGCCGTGCTGAGCTTCTTGATCACGCGCGGCGCTTGCACCTCGCTACCACCCGGCCCAGCGTGGTTGGTGAGGATGCGGATGCCGCTGATGAAGCGCTGGAGGCGGAGGCGCTCGCGATCCGGGAATCCACGCTTAGGGGACAAGGCGTTCGGCTCATTCTTGCCGACGTATTCGAGGCAGAGGCGAAGCAATGGACCCTGCTTGTACATGGTCCCGGTGGAGATGTCGACATTAATGAGCATCTTCCCCATAGCAGGACGAATAGATTGGAAATATCCACGCCCTAATTGATAAAGGGATATGAGCGATGCACAAGTGCTTTGAGTAAGCAACCCACAGAGCTCGAGGCCAGCGCCAATATCTTTGGTTTCGCGGTTGGTGAAAAAAGAACGAACATTGACTAGTGAAAGAAAATCAGTCGCTTCCGTGAGTGCATGACGGACAAAGTACAAGGATAAGTCATCGTGGGTTGCATACGAATGACAACATTGAGCGCCTAAAAATTGATTATAGGAAAAAGGCTACGAAAAGTTAGAAACAATGCATACGGTAATGGCAGTCAGGACGGTGTTATCGTGCGACTGGTCACCATCGATGAAACGTTCCAACACCCTGCACAATATGATCAGTATAACGTGAGTATCAGTACGAAAGCACTCTCACTCGGGGTTAATCTCCGCGACGTGGGTGAGCTTTATCTTGTAGACCTTGGGGCCCTTTCCGCTAGCAGACGCCGTGGCGTCAGCGAGGGTGACATCGAACTCCTGGGAGCCGGTCTCGAATGGGAGCCTGCGGATGCTGAAAATGTTTTTGCGACCATCATAGACGCAACGAGGAGTGAAGCTGCGCAAAGTGTAAGCCAACGGATAAAGTGGAGGCACGCAGTTTACATTTGCGGCGCGACATCGAACTGAAGACGACGAATGAGGTCCATGGTCATACGTGCCGGCAGAGTCTTCTCAGAGGGAGAGATAACGACTAGAAAGGGAAAAGTTGGCAAAAGAACGAGGCCAGGTTGCGAGGCATACCATCGTAATGGTGGATGATCGACGATGGGATAGTTGTGACGAACGAGTTGACGAAGATGGGTACAGGTTGCCCGAAAGAGCCAAAGTCGGGACGCTTGACGCCAACCTAGACGTCGAGGGAAGAAACACGTCGTCGCAGTGAAACGAAGCCATACGGTTGTGATGTGTTCGCCCGAAGTGGGAAGACCAACCTGAGGGGGATTAGTCCAATGAAGAGACGACAAAGACAAAGACCCACCCGAGCGCCGCCGCCGCCTGCGTCGTCGTGGAAAGAGT